CAGGGGGGATGGTCACGCCGCAATCCCTTCTCCTCCATTCTCCTCTCGGGATCTTGGGCACGCACGCACACGCGCCCGGCGTGAGATTTAAGCCACCGGGTCCAAGACGCGAACCGCGGTCGACTACGTGGGAGTCCAGCGACATAGCCATTACACTAACTGCTGTTCCCCTGATTTCTTTTTATAATTTTATGTACCTTTATCTCATGACAAAATACACAGTAGTTGTTAAAACTTAAAAAACCATACTGCATGGGTTTGAGTCTTAGCCACTAATTTGCTGTATAAACTTCGGGCGAATTACTTAATCCTTGTTAAACCTCACTGGGACCCAGCCACAGTCTCACATGCTGTTAAGACATGTTAAAACATTGTGTTTTGAGGACCAGCAGGTGGTATGGTGGTTAAGGTGCTGGACACTCCCACATGGTCAAACACAGTTCAAGTCCCAAACCTGGTAGCTTGCTTTCTCACTTTCACTTTCTCCCTGTGTCTTTCTCTGGTCAAATTAAAATAAATGAGTAAATAAAATTAAATTTAAAATTAGAAGAAAGAAAAGATACTGTATTTTGCAGCCTGAACTACATGAGAGTCCCAGGTTCTATTCTCAGTCCAACCTAAAGGCCACATGACATGTGCCTGTAATCCCAACCTAGAGGCTATGTGCTGTGGCATGTGCCCGTAATCCCAGCCATTGGGAGGCTGAGGCAGGAGGATGGTGGGCTCCAGGCTGGCATCGGCAACATGGCAAAAAAGAGCCAGGCACGGTGGCACACACCTGCAGTCCCAGATACTCTAGCTGCTGAGGCAGGAAGACTGTGACACAGACTCTGTCTTTATAACTCAAACCCATTTTATCATGCCTCAGTTTATTTGTAAATTGGAGAGAAAAGCACTTGGAAAGTTGTTTTGAAGATTATAAAACTTATCCAAGGTGGTACAACTAGTAAATGACAGAAGTGACACTTTAATGAAGATTGATAAATTAACATGGCCCACTCTCTGGAGTCTTCAGTAAGTGTGTCGTGTACTTACCAGTGCCTAGCACAGTCAGTGCCATATTGCCTGCTATCTGTGTTGGTACTACTCAGATGCATTTCTGAAATTTAATCCTTTTAACAGCTCCCCAGCCTCTGAAATACAGTAATCTAAGCAGTATCACACAGGTAGTAGGCCAGGTTTGGCAAACCCAGCCCTGCTGGCTTCAGAGCTCATGACGGTTCATGGCAGTGATTGTTCTGTACACAAGAGTCTCTAGGGCCTTACACAATGCTTAGGAGTCTGCAGTTTTTTGAAGTACTTTGAGTTCTGAGACTGAAAATGTACAGGCATTGGGGTGTTTGGGTTTTTTTAGTAGGTTTTAAAAAGCTTTTGAGAGTCTTAAGAATTTCTAATTGTTAGAAAATATTTAGAACCTGGGACCAGCAGTTGTAATGGCTATGTTGCTGGACTCCCATGTAGTCAACCACGGTTTGAGTCCTGGACCCAGTGGCTTAAACTCACACCTGGCACGTGTGCGTGTGTGCCCAAGATCCCGAGAGGAGAATGGAGAAAGGATTGCGGCGTGGCCATCCCCCCGGGGGTTGATTCTCGCTTTCTGTATCTGTCTGTCTCTGGCTTTCTGGTGAGCGCATGCACCCTGTAGCAGAGTATTTTGTATTGCTACACAGGAGTAGATTTCAGCTATGGGTAAAGAAGGGATTTTCTAACAAAAAAATATTGCCCAGAACTGGATTCAGTTCTTAGTGAGAGAGTGAACAATCCACAACAGGCTTTGTACAGTCATTTAGTGTAGAAATTAACTTATTCATTCAGCAGATATTGAGCACTTATTAGCTGCCAGGCACCAGAGTCACAGCTCTGTACTGATTTAACATGAGCTCAGTCCCTGTGCCATTGCACCTTAGGAGAAGAGGAGGGAACGGCAAGGAAGCGATTGTGTGAAGCTGTGAAGAGCACACATGTGAGACTGATGAATGGGGGGGGGCGCTACTTAGAGGCCGTGAATAGTGCAGTTCAGTAAGAGCTCTGAGCAGAAAGAACAGCATGTGTGAAGGGAATGTTACACTTGGTGCATGGACCAGAATCTCTGAAGGTCTGCTGTTCACACGTGGTCTCTCCTAGGACAATGTGGAGGTGCCTTTGGTCACCCAGCTAGTAGTTAGTGATAACAAGGACAATGAAACCCACTGTTTCCTCAGGTCAGCTTGCATTATTTGGTTTTGGATTCATCTTTCAGGTGAGGTTTGTATCTGTATATAAGTTATACTGTTGGGGCTATGCCCTGCTGATATACAAAGCAGAAAGTCAGTTGGAAAAGAACACAGAAACTTCAAAAACATCCTCTTATTCCTGTGATTTTTTTTTTTTTTTAATCTTGGTTTTGTTTACAGAAAGATGTTGGATCCAGGGCTGATGATGTGTTCCAAGCAAGCTATGTTTCTTAATCTAGTCTACAAGTCTCTGAAAGCGGACATTGTGTTGCGCCGTGTGAAGGCGTTTGTGAAGAGGTTACTTCAGGTTACTTGTGGACAGATGCCACCATTCATATGTGGAGCTCTGTATCTTGTGTCTGAGATCCTTAAAGCAAAACCAGCCTTAAGAAGTCAACTAGATGACCATCCAGTAAGTATATATTTTTTAAAATAATTATTTAATGTTACTTATTTGTTTATTTTCATTTGACCAGAGAGAGACACACAGAGAGAGAGAGAGAGAAAGTGGGAAAGCAAACCACCAGGTCCAGTACTCAGACTGGGGGGGGCCATGTGGGAGTGTCCAGCACCTTAACCGCCATGCCACCTTCTGGACCCCGTCATCTGGTATTTTTCTTAATTATTTTATTTAACTTTATTTATTTTTAATTTGACTAGAGAGGGACAGAGTAAGAAGGAAAGAGAGAAGGAGGAAACGTGAGAAAGTAAGCTGCCAGGTCCAGGATCGAATCATGGTCGGCCGTGTGGGAGTCCAGCAACCTAAACCACCACCCCACCTGCTGGCCGCAATCCAGTATATCTTTATGCTGCTTTTTAACTTGGGTGCTGAAATATATTGGTTGTTTTTGTTTTCTGTCCTTCATGACAATAACTTAATTCTCTGGAGAATAGAAGAATGTGAGTTCTGGTGTCAGGTGGACCTGATTTTTAATACTAAGTATACAGTTTACTGATGGTATGTTGATTGATCCCTCTGCTTGTAAAAAACTGAATTACACTAGAAACTGCAATAAATTATGGAAGCAGATAGTAGATCTTATAAGCCTGTCCTCAGTTTTAAAATGGAAACAAGATGGTACCTGCCATGTAGGATTCTATCTAATAGATCAGAACTTTATTTGAATACTGACTTGATTGGTTTGAAGTCATAACATCCCAAACTCTCAGAATTTCTTGGCCTAAGCTTAAGTCTGTTAGCTTTAGAAACAAGGGGTGATCTTGTGTTTTAAATGTCATCAGTGACCCATCATTTTACTTTATTAGAGGTTTTTTGTGTTTCAGTAGAATCAGTAATCAGTCATCTTCAGAACTCTACCTTATGTAATTGAATGGAGACGTCATTGTAACTTAACAATTGAGTTATGTAGACACGTTAAACCATTGTGGTTTCTTTTTTGGTTAGGAGTCTGATGATGAAGAAAATTTTGTTGACTTAGGAGATGATGAAGACATAGAAAAATTCACTGATGCAGACAAAGAAACAGACACAGAGAAAAAAGTTGAGACAGAGGAAACTGTGCCTAAAAGTGGTAAAGAAACCGAAAAAGCAAAGGTTGCTTCATGGGTACACGTTGATAATCTGAAAGGTGAGTAATTAAAATATTGGAAGTATTCTCTTGAATTTTTAAATGAAGGAATTTGTTTCTTCCTTGGTCTTCATAGAAATTAATATTATACCATTTTAGAAGTCCTCAGTGTTGGACTGACCCTGTAGCCTTGTAGCTAAGAGAGCCAGGTTCCCACATCACTGACTGCAGTTCAAGTCCCAGTCTAGTAGCTTGAAAAGTATGCCAGGTGTGTGTGTACCCTGTGACAATTAAAAAAAATTCCTCAATGTTACTTTCTCCAAAATGAGAGCTCTCGGGGCCAGCAGGTGGCGTGCTGATTAAGCCACATTTCAAGTCTCGGACCTGGCAGCTTGCTTCCTCACTTTCCCTTTCTCGCTTCCTGTGTCTCTCTCTGGTCAAATTAAAACAAATGAGTGAATAAATAAAATTAAATAATTCTTTTAAAAAAGAGAGAGAGAGCTCTCATAATTTTCTTACTAACAAAACTACAGCAAATTAATACACTTTTTTCATTCCTTAGCATTTATTGCTGCACACAGAGACCTCAAACATAGAACACATAAAGACATGCAAATGTAGTATTCACAGAAGTTTGATTTGATTTTTTTTTAAGAGAGATTTTTGCTGTAGTGTGCATATGCTCACCGGAGAGACAGAGACATAAAGAAATACAGAGAAATTACCCCCTGAGGGGATGGCCATGCCGCAGTCCCTTCTCTTCCATTCTGCTCTTGGGATTTTGGGTATGCACCCACACATGCCTGGTGTGAGTTTTAAGCCACCGGGTGTGGAACTCAAACCACAGCAATCTATGTGGGAGTCAGCAACATAACCATTACACCATCTGCTGGTCCTCGGAAGTTTGATTTATAAAAAACAAATATTTGGTAAACCTTTTCATTCTTTTGTTCGACTATCATATTCACCCTCCACAGTTGGTATTTTTTGGGGGGGCAGAAGGGGAGCAGGGGTTGTTTTTTAAGGTTTTTGCCATAGTGCTCGTGCGCGTGTCAGAAAGAAATAGAGGGAAAGTGAGAAATCACCCCATGGGGGGATGGCCAGGCTATAGTCCTTCTCCATTGTCCTCTTGGGATTTGGGCATGAGCAGACACTGTGATTTTCAAGCTGCCAGTTGGGGACTTGAACCATAGTCAGCCATGTGGAGTCAAACGCCTTAACCACCACACCACCTGCTCGCCCCTCACCTTTGATAGTTTCTGAAAGCAATATTTTAGGATAGAAAATTTTCTGTGAAATGGAAATTCAAAGTGGTTTTCCATTCATACTCACAAACTGAATTAAGTCTTTTAATGGAATATTAGAACCAAAAGTAACCTTAGAAATGGAACCTCGTCAGGGTAGCCTCATGGCATAGTAAAGGGGCTCAGATCTCACATGGCTGATTGCAATTCAAATCCCAGCCTCTGAGGCTTGAAAATGTGTACATGCATGCCAAAATCCCAATAGGATGGAGAGATGGAGGACAAGGATTGTGGCATAACCACATCCTATTGTGTGCTGCCTTTTCCCTCTGTATCTCTCTGGAAAGTGCATGCACCCGCCAACAATTTAAAAAAAAAAAAGGAGAAATATAACCTCTTCACTTGAGGCTGTGAGGAATGCTAGCCATGTAAATCAAGAATTGCAGTACTAGACCCATGTCTTCATGGGTCTTTCTCTGGGACCCAGTCAAATTAACTCAACTCTGGGACCAGCAGTTGGCATAATGGCTATGTCGCTGAACTCCCATGTAGTCAACCACGGTTCAAGTCTTGGACGTGGTGCTGTAAATTCAAGCATATGCATGCATGCCCAAGATCCCGAGAGGAAAATGGAGAAGGGATTACAACATGGCCATCGCACCTGGGGTGTGATTTCTCACTGAATGTCTCTCTATCTCTGTCTTTCTGGCGAGCACATGTGCCCTAAAAACCTAAAAACCTCTCAAAAAAAAAACTAAATAACTCAACTCCAAGTTTTAGTTACCTGTGGAGTACAAAGTGGAAGTCTGATGGCTGCCAGGGAAGTTTATAGACAAAGCCATCAGTTATCCTGAGTACCAAACTGAGAATACCCCTGTGAAAGGTGATACGCAGGTGTGGTGCGTGGTAGGTAGTTCAGAGTGTACTCTGAAGGTCCTTGTTTTCATCTGTTTTAACCCTGAGTTTCTGAAATACCTAAAGATGATGTTAAATTTGTCCTAATTACAATATTTCAGAGCAGCCTTTAACAAGAAATATTTAGAACACACTAAAGCTCCAAAAGACTTTAGGCCTATGCCTCTTCAGATTATTTTCATCTTAATATTTATGACCTATTAGATTCACAGCACCCTTCACTGCTCTCTAAAATGAGTAGTTTTGCAGGAACTTTCAGAAATTGGGCTAAGTATGTTACCTGATTTACTTCCTAGGTGGTAAACACTTAAATAAGTATGATCCATTCAGCAGAAACCCTTTGTTCTGCGGAGCTGAAAATACAAGTCTTTGGGAACTCCAAAAGGTAAAATAATTTCAGATTGCCTTATTTTTACCACCATGGAATTAACATGTTGATGTTTTTATTTTTCTTGGACATGATAAAAATTGGCATTAATCAACTTTAAATTTCCACATTTGGGGAAGGATACTATATGAAGTATTCATCTTCTACAAAACCTTAAATACTGCGTATGTAAAATAAAGATGGCCATCCCCCCGGGAGGTAATTTCTCGCTGTCTTTCTGGCGAGCGCACGCACTCTATAGCAAAAACCTCTCAAAAGAGAAAAAAGAATATCTACAATTATATGAAACACTATTAATAATAATCCTTTTTCCAACATAACAGTGAGGCCAGATTTTCTTCATGTATTTCAACTAAAATAAGAAGCAAAGCAGCCACTGTCTTCTATTATCCAGACATTGAAAAACTTTGCAGACCATAAAATAATGCTACTCTTATTATATTATTTCGTTCTGAAAAAGTTACTTTTCATTCATACATTATTAATACATCATTAATACATGATGCAGTATTCTTTTTAATGAACTGTATTTTTAATTTTGTTATAATTTCTGAGGTATTGGGTATATAAAACCCACTTTTATAAAAGGATTTTCCAAGGCCAGCAGGTGGCCTAGAAAGCCATGTGGGTGCTGAACTCCCAGGTGGCCGAATGAGCTTAGAGTCCTGAACCTGATGGCTTGAAACTCAAGCTAGACATGTGTGTGTGCATGCCCAAAATCCCAAGAAGGGAATGCAGCATGGCCTTCCTCCCTGGGGGTTGATTTCGCAATTTCCCTCTCCCCATCTCTCTCCTGCTATATAATGCACGTGCCCTATGGCCAAAAAAAACACACACACACAAAATTGCTTTTAGGGTCTTTGTGGGTTTTTTTGTTTGTTTTTTTTTTTTTTAAAGAATTACTTTATTTGACTTCATTTATTTTAATTTGACCAAAGAGGGACAGAGAGAGAGAGCAAGAAAGCAAACCACCAGGTCCAGGACTAACCCCAGTCGGCCATGTAGGAGTCCAACACCCTTAACCACCACACCACCTGCTGGCCCCAGGACCCTTGCTTTTAGGTATATAAAATGGTTCCCAGATCAAAATGTTTATGAATCCCTCAAACATGGCATTAGCTTAAATTTCAATTATCTGGATTTTTTTAAATAAGTTAACAATTATAATAAGAGTTAACTTGGTACCAGCAGTTAGTGTAATGGTTATGTCACTGAACTCCCATGTAGTTGATCACGGTACAAGTCCCAGACCCGGTGGCTTAAACTCACGCCGGGCACGTGTGCGTGCGTCCCCAAGATCCTGAGAGGAGATTGGAGGAGAAGGGAGGATTGCAGCATGGCCATCCCCCCCAGGAGGTGATTTCTCACTTTCTGTCTCTCTGTCTCTGTCTTTCTGGTGAGCACCTGAGCCCTATAGAAAAGAAAAAAAAATGAATTAACTTTAGAAATACTGACATGCATATTTTTCTTTTTAGCTGTCTGAGCATTTTCATCCCTCTGTGGCCCTTTTTGCAAAGACTATCCTTCAGGTGAGTCTGAAATAAAAAAACAAGGATTATAGAGGGTTTTCTCCATCAGATAGAATCATATACATCTTACTACCCCTATAAATGAACATTCACTGGTGTAATACAGAACAGCTAAGAATTCTCCCTACAGTGAAGTGAATGAGAATGTAGAACATTAGAAAACTACAGCGTTATTTAATATATTCTGGCTCTTCTGGACAAAGGTTACCCTCCCCCCTTCCCATTTGCTGTGTTTGCCACTTCAGAGTTTGTTTTCTGGTTAATGGTTAGATGACCTGCATTGTTAATATTACTTACCTATCCATAAGATCAGCAACATTTCATAGACTAGGTATGAATATGTAAGTGTGTGTTAAATTCTTTCAAGTGCAACGTGCATAAGAGGGATATTTGACAGGTCATTTATTGCCTTTGATGCAGTACAACAGAAGCTTACATTTTTCCTCTTTTTTTCTTATCTGCATATATTTAATTTTAGTTCTTAAATCTCCCTCACTTTTTAGGGAAATTATATTCAGTATTCAGGGGACCCACTGCAGGATTTCACTCTAATGAGATTCTTGGATCGTTTTGTATACCGAAATCCAAAGCCACATAAAGGCAAAGGTATGCTTCTTTTTAATAAATTACTGTTTTTTACTGTTTATTTAAAAAAAAAAACAAAAAAACATGTTACTAGGTTTTACATTACACTGTCATGATTCTACATTTCAGAAAACACAGACAGCGTTGTGATGCAACCAAAGAGGAAACATTTTATAAAGGATATTCGTAGTCTTGCTGGTAAGTATAAAGGTTGGACAGTTGAAACCAAAAATACAGTGCAAGATAACACATACATTGTTTTATTTTTTTGCTTTGTGTTTTTAGAATAACATCTAAGCACCAAAGACATTATCCATTCTTTGTTTCCAAAGACATGTATGTGTTCAGAAGTTTACTGTCTGACTAGACCTCTTTTTTAAAAAAAAAATCTTGGATTACAATTACAAACATATCCAAAGTAAATAAAATAGTATGACGAGGGGCCAGCAGATGGCGTAGTGATTACATCACTGGACTCCCACATGGTTTGAGTCGTGGTTTGAGTCCCAGACTTGGTGGCTTCAAAATCATGCGAGGTGTTGTGTGTGTGTGCAAGCCCAAAATCCTGTGAGATGGATGGAGGAGAAGGGATTGCGGCACAGCCATTCCCCCTGGGGAGTGACTTCTCACTTTCCTTCTCACTTTCTCTGTCTCTCTCCAGCAGTGAATGTGCCCTAAGACAAAAAGCTCTTTAAAAAATAGTATGATGAACCTCAGTGTAACAAGTACTAATAGTTAATACCTTTTACCATCCTTGTACCGTCTACGGCTTTGTCAGCAACCCTACTTTTATCATTGTAGTCCTGTTCCACGTAATGATGTTTTGGTCAATGACAGATCGTATGTCACCATGGAGCAATCGGCTATCCCATAGAGCCTAGGCATGCAGTAGGCTGTCCACCCTAGGTTGTTGTAAATATACTCTGATGTATATGCACCTGACAGTGAGGTGTTTTGTTTTGTTTTGTTTTGATTTTTGGAGAGGTTTTTGCTATAGGGTGTGTGTGCTCGCCAGACAGGCAGAGAGAGACAGAGACAGAAAGTGAGAAATCACCCCACCAGAGGAGATGGCCACACCGCAGTCTCTTCTCCTCCATTCTCTACTTGGGATCCTTGGCACGCACACACACGCGCCCGGCGTGAGTTTTAAGCCACCAGGTCCAGAACTCAAACAGCGGTCGACTACATGGGAGTCCAGCGATGCAGCCATTACGCTAACTACTGGTTCCCTGACAGTGAGTTCAGAATGAATCCATCATTAATCAACATAACTTGTCTTTGACAGTTCAGACTAGTTTAAACACTAACATTAGCTTATTGAAACAAAACCCACCGCTGGTTTTGTTATAGAACATCATTTTAAACTTCATCCATAAACTCCTATAGATGCTTTGTACCCGTCTTGTGGTTCTTCTTCTGTTTTGCTACTCAGCAGAGAAATTTGTTTGCATACCAGATCCAGATTCTAGGGTTCAACTAGGCCTTACAAATCACTTAATTTCTAACTGACTTTACAGAGGTCCAGACATGCCCAAAGTTAATAGAGAAAAAAGTATTATAGGCGCCAAATATCCTTTTTGTCAACATGAATCAGAAACATTTATTCTGAAGATGAAAAACTGATATTCTTACAGTTCCTTATTGTTTCCTAGTTGTCCTCATTATCAAAAATAATTGTGGAAAATTCTGTTTCTTGTTCCCAGAAAGATAAGCATTGTTTTTCTAAGATGAAACAGCAAATATGAAGTGGTTATTTAAGAGAACACTTTGAATTTCTTTCTTGAAATTTGGGTCTTGGATCCAACTGGGGGACAGTGAGAGAGCCCAGTCGTTCACTACACTGATGGCGATGCCGCCTGCAATCCACTGCACGCATGAGCAATTCGAATATTGGACTTGGCCTGACAGACTGCACCAGAGATTGTCCTTGGCACTGTGGGTTCCCATCTGTCCACCTTCCTCACATTTTGAGAGTTTAGAATTGTGCATACACTATATTTCCTGTTAAAGCTTATGTGACAAAGGGATCACTGTAATAAGTTAATATTTGGCTTAATTTATTCTTCTAGTGAACAGCAGGGAATTCCTCGCCAAAGAAGAGAGCCAGATACCAGTGGATGAAGTGTTTTTCCACAGGTAGTATACTCAGTTATATAGTTTCATTCAGAGAACTGTTATACTTTGAATTGTATTGCAGCTTAAATCTTTGGAGTTCATAAAATGCTATGTTAACATCAGCATATTTTGAAAAGACCCAAGGATATCACTATTTATTTTTGTGAAGGACATTTATAAAGTGGTCATTTGCTAATATTAAGGGATCTTAGTAAAATTAAATTTGGAAGTTTGTTTTTAATAAAGTAACAGAAATTTTGTCTCATAAATCAGATTTTTTATGGAACTTAATCTATTTTCTAAGTTTATTTCTCCCATGAATAAAAGAGAAAAAGAGAGGCAGAGAAACAGGCACCCCCTTACCCACCCAACAGGAGTCTTCACTGCCATTCCTCCCTGCCTCGACCCGCCCCAGATTGTGGGCCACATACACATAGGGAGGTCTCCAAACATGAACCCAGGGCCTCTCCATATGCGTCCATCTTGCAGAGCCTCACATTTTACCACTGCACCACCATCTAGCACTTGCACTCATTTTAATATAGTGGTGAACAACCCATGAGTAGTTTGTCCAGGCCCTGGCCCTTAGTGCAGAATCAGCCAAATGTATTGCACTAGTATTAATACAAATGCCTTATAGTAATAAAATACCTGCTATTTCATGTGATTGATGGGTTACCTAGGTTTGGTTTGCTTTTTTGGGGGTGGTTTGTTTGTTTGTTGTTTTACCATCAGAGGGTTTGCACATTCACTTCCCATGAATAAAAGAGAAAAAGAGAGGCAGAGAAACAGGCACCCCCTTACCCACCCAACAGGAGTCTTCACTGCCATTCCTCCCTGCCTCGACCCGCCCCAGATTGTGGGCCACATACACATAGGGAGGTCTCCAAACATGAACCCAGGGCCTCTCCATATGCGTCCATCTTGCAGAGCCTCACATTTTACCACTGCACCACCATCTAGCACTTGCACTCATTTTAATATAGTGGTGAACAACCCATGAGTAGTTTGTCCAGGCCCTGGCCCTTAGTGCAGAATCAGCCAAATGTATTGCACTAGTATTAATACAAATGCCTTATAGTAATAAAATACCTGCTATTTCATGTGATTGATGGGTTACCTAGGTTTGGTTTGCTTTTTTGGGGGTGGTTTGTTTGTTTGTTGTTTTACCATCAGAGGGTTTGCACATTCACTTCAGAGAGAGAAAGCACCCCCAGGGCCATGATTCCAGCTGTGGTCAGCCACATAGGACCCTGCTTCCTGAGAATAGGGCTTAACCACTACCATGAGGCCAGCGTTGGTTTGCTTTTTTTAAGATAGTGTGATTTTTGAGGGTGTAGTTCTGTCTGTAAAGTGCTATTTCACTGTATCCTCATAAAAGAATAGGGCTAACCAATAAATACTGTAATTTTAAGTCATTTAGAGCCATATTTTTAAAATAATCTAATACTTAACTGGTTTTAAAGTTAAAACAATCCTTTTTGGGTGTTTTTATGGTTAACTAGTTTGTAAGAACTTAAGCCTTTGAAATTTATTATACTAAAAAAAGAAATTTATTATACTAAATATTTCAAAAGTTTTCAGCTATTTTGTTGAATTCAAAACCATTTTTCTTATATTAAATACAAATTTCATTTCTGTTCAGTTGAGTACTTAACAAACTCACAATTGTGGTTGGTCACTGCTCTTAGGTGCTTTGATTACAATAAGGTGAGCCCTTTAATAATAATATCACATATATAACATGAATTTTATTTTAGGTATTATAAAAAAGCTGCCACTGTTAAAGAGAAGCAAAAACGGAATGCAGATGAAGAAAGTATAGAAGATGTGGATGATGAGGAATTCGAAAAGATGATTGGTAATTTTTTGTCGACTGTCTAATTAGAAATATTATTTTACTAATAAAACATTGGAACGTTAGTGATAGAGTGACCTTAGTTTTAAACACTGAACTAAGAAATCACAATGAAGGATTGAAAAAGATTTTGATGGCCTATGGTAACACACACATTTGCGTAGAAAAATATATGAGTGCTTTGGGTGGTCCATGTGAGGAAAATTTATATTTATATGAGTATAGAAACCATTTTTCCCATTCATAATCTCCTTGTGCTATTGGTAGCAATAATCTGCTGTTTCTTTTCTTTATAACCCACAGAGCTAGAGAAATTTTAATTGGAAGGTAGTAGGCTGAAATGAAAAACAGAAGATTGGAAAAACTTAAGTTTGTTTCACTTTTGTTATATATTACATCTACTAAAAATAAGCAGATAGTTGTTTTTTTTTTTTTTCTTTTTTTTGGAGAGGTTTTTACTATAGAGCACATGTGTTCGCCAGAGAGACAGAAAGCAAGAAATCACCCCCCAAGGGGCATGGCCATGGACACACATGCACACGCGCCCAGCCTGAGTTTAAGCCGCCAGGTCTGGGACTCGAACTGCAGTCAACTATATGGGAGTCCAGCGATAGAGCCATTATGCCAACTACTGGTCCCAATAAGCAGATAGTTCTATTAGAGTACAAACTTCAATTCCTGGGACCAACAGATGGCATAATGGTTACTTTGCTGGACTCCCACATGGTCGACCGTGGTTTGAGTCCTGGACCCAGTGGCTTAACACTCATGCCAGGCACATGTGCTTGCAGTACCAAAACCCTGAGGCAACAATGGAGAAGGGATTGCAGCATGGCCATCCCCCGGGGGGTGATATTTTGCTTACTGTCTCTCTGGTGAGTGCACACATCCTAGAGCAAAAAATCTCTTTTAAAAAAAGGCTTCAATTCCAAATGTCATTGTATTTGATGTTTGTCATCTTTCCATAAAAGAACTGTAGGAAGAAGCTAAAATTAAATGTAACTCAGTTGATGGATTTAATTAAAATCAGTGGTTCAAGGGACCAGCAGGTGGAATAGGTGGTCAAGGGCACTGGACTCCCCACATGGCCGGCTGTGGTTCAAGTCCCGGACCTGGCAGCTTGCTTTCTCACTTTCTCTCTCTCTCTCACCTCCCTTCCCACCCCCCACTCCACCCCCAATCTGGTCAAATTAAAATAAATAAACTTAAGTAAAATAAGTTTTAAAAAATCAGTAATTCACTGGTTTATACGCATGAATAGTCGTATTTATTATCATTTTGATGTTTACTTGTCATGAACAGAATCATGACTTCATATTACAATAACTGATTCAGGTATAATACATGTCACCCTTGTTCATTACTGTGTCTCACAATTTGTAAACTGTTCTCTGGCAGATACATTTGAAGATGATAACTGTTTCATATCTGGAAAGGATGATCTTGATTTTGCTGGGTAAAGTATTTTTCATTTTTTTTTTACTGTTTTCCCAGATTGTCGTACCTCATAACAGTAGGCCACAGATATAGAGGGAAGATGTATTCAAATAAATTTGGAAAGCTACTATAGTATTTTTATTTTGAACCTTAAAGTATACAGGAGTATATTTACATAGCAAGTTTTTGGGTTTTTCCCTCCAGCAATGTGAAAAAGAAAAGAAAAGGAGTTAAGGATAACGCAGAAGATGACGATTCAGAGGGCAGTGATGATGAACTGGATAACCTGGATGATGATGAAGTTTCTTTAGGAAGTATGAATGAAGAATTTGCTGAAATCGATGAAGATGGAGGAACCTTCATGGATTTGTTAGATGATGAAAGTGAAGGCATTCCAGGTAAGCATTTTTAAAAATAAGACAAATTGTATGTTCCTTTCTTCCTCAGCATTAGGCTAGTTTTCCTCATGAAGATTTTTAATATAGTTCTATATTCCAATTAATACTCACTGTCCGTAAATTTTAAAAGACATTTTTTTCTTCGTGGAATTAAAGGTTGATGTTTTTTTTGTTTGTTTGTTTGTTTTTTCTTTTGAGCAAAGTTTTGAGTTTTAGGCTTCTGTTTTTGTTAACAGCCATCCTGTTTGTTCAGTACTCAGTAAGCCGTCAGGTTGCCTTTTTTTTTTTTTTTAGCTATAGAGCTGTGCGCTCGCCACCCCCCAGGGGGGCATGGCCATGCCGCAATCCCTTCTCCTCCATTCTCTCAGGATCTTGGGCACATACGCACACATGCTCAGCGTGAGTTTAAGCCACTGGGCCCAGGACTCGAACCGTGGTCAACTACATGGGAGTTCAGCAAGATAGCCATTATGTTAACTGCTGGTCCCCACGTTACCTTTTTTAAATGGTAAAATAGTAATTTGTTTGGGCCAACCCATGACCTGGTACTTAAGGGAACTGTGTCCCACGTGGCTGACCTTGTGGTTCAAGTCCCAAACCTGGTGGCTTAAATAACATGCCAGGCACATGTGTGTGTGTCCAAAGTCCCAACAGGATGGAGAAATGGAAAAGGGATTGTGGTATGACCATCCCCCACAGGGATTGCTTTCTTCCTCTCCCTCTCTTTCTGGCCAGTATGTGTACCCTTGCTCTCTGGCCAAAGAAAAATAGTACTTAGCTTATACAAGTTCTTATTTATCATAACGCTGTAGCGTAAGTGGGAAGGTGATGATTCTATCTTACTGTTGTAAATTAGCAAAGAGCACCCAAAATTGTGTCTTTGAACTATTTCCTTCCTCCTTTCACATACCTCCATTATTCACATTCCTGGCCAACACCCTGCTACTTATTCTGGCTCCTATTGTTTTTAAATTGTTTCATTAACTTTTTTTGCTAACAGAACTTGAGAAAGTCAGCTCCAAAGTCAATACTAAGAAAAGCAAGAGAAAAGGTGCAGCTGATCTTGATTTTGCTGAGTCATTTCAAGGTAAGAAAATGGATTTACGCTTGTTAACCTAAGCGGTGTCAGATCTTCTTACAATTTTGGGAAAAGAATTTTTCTGAATTTGGTAAGGCAATTCAGTTTTGACTTCTTTTAAAGAAAGGTATTTTTCATTTACGTTTATTTAACCATTCAATTATATGTAAGCCCTGGATTTTCCAGAGACACCAGTTGCTTTTTTCCTTTCCTCAATTATTGTCATTTGACCCTCCTAAATTATCTTCCTCTACTTAACCTCTTTTTCCTTTTATATGAGACCAGATAGATATTTTGCCCCTATGACAAAACAGTTGTAATTTCAAAAACATTTTAAAGGCAGGATGGATTTTTCTTTAATATTGATCATTTGTTCTCTGGTATTTTTTAAAGTATGTAAGATCATGTCTTGTAATACTTGCAAGGCACTAATGAAAAGAAGCACTATATATTGAATTACTGAGAAAGTCTTGAAATATTTTTCTGGTTTTCTTTGCAAAAATGCGCATGACTTTTCCAACCCAGTATCACCTGACAGTTCTAGGTGATAAAAATGTAGAAAGCACCATGTGCTGCCTCTGATGACTCTATCTTTTGTTTACTAGCAAATAGCTGATAAAGTATAAAAATATAAAAATCCAAGATAATTGGATTTAGTTACTTAATCAAGGCTTTTTTTTTTTTTTTGGTTTGTTTAAGGACCAAGGAAAAAAAAGAAAAGAAACCTCAATGACTCCAGCCTATTTGTGTCTGCTGAAGAGGTAAAACTAAAATACTGCTTTAAGAAGCTGGCTATTCTACATTGTCTTAAGTTTGTTAATAAATCTCTCCTTTTTTTATTTTTTTCAAGTTTGGCCACCTGTTAGATGAAAATATGGGATCCAAGTTTGATAACATTGGCATGAATGCTATGGCTAACAAAGACAATGCAAGTAAGGAACTTCAATTTTTTATTAAAGTTTTTAAATTGCCTTGACTTAAAACTTCTAAAGAAACAAATATTTTAAAGGGCCCTTTTATATCTGGAAAGAATGGCCTTTTTATCTCCCCCTCTAGAGAGCCTGTAGGTCTAAAAAAGCATTTAGATCACAACAAAACAAGATTATAGATTATGAAAATTATTTTCATTCTTTTACCAGTAATAGTGTTCAGGAAGAAAAAACCATTAGAGCAGTTGTTCCTTTTCCTTCCTTAGTCTTTTATTTGTAAATCGTTGATATTTAACAATAAATACAGAAGAAAAGCAACAAACAAGTAGTTGACTTGCACTGTGGGTGGGAAACTCAAGCCAGGGCAGAGCAGAAGTCCCTGGTACTCCGGAGGATGTGCTGTGGGGCCACCAAGCGTCTGCAGTGTGAAAGGCACCTCTTTCTCCTCCCACAGGTCTCAAACAGCTTAGATGGGAGGCCGAGCGTGATGACTGGCTACACAACAGAGATGTGAAAAGTATCATCAGGAAAAAGAAAAACTTCAAAAAGAAGAAGCCGAAAACCACCCAAAAAGCTAAAAAGCAAAGGAAATGAATGTTTTTAAAGTAAATTATAATTAAAATTCTACTTACCCCTAATTTTTGCTATTCAGCCATTTTTCTTGATCTTGTTCTCTGATCCCGTACATTCCAGATTGTTCGATGGATTTGTAATAAACTGTAAGTAAAAATAGCTGTCATTACAACATCATATAAAAATGTTGTTAAAATTAAACTTTGAGAAAAATCAAACTTTTTTTTGAGAGAGAGATTTTTGCTATAGGGCACGTGCACTCACCAGAGAGAGGTGGAAAGTGAGAAATCACTCCCCCAGGGGGTATGGCCACATTCAGTCCCTTCTCTTGGGATATTGGACATACATGCACACGCACCCAGCACAAGTTTCAGGCTGCTGGGTCCAGGACTCAACCTCAGGTCGGGGTCCAGGACTCAACCTCAGGTCGGAGTCTAGTAACTTAACCACTGTGCCACCTGCTGGCCCCAAATCAAACTTTTTTCCAGATTGCTACATAGTCAAAAACATGACAGTTGGAGCATTACATATTCATGTACAAGCTGTAGCATCTCTACTAACCACTAACGGAGCACAAGTTATTAAATGTTACTTTATACCATATACTGTGCTATCTGAACACATACTAACATCTTGTTCATGTAACAATCCCATGACGTGGGTGTTAGCTCTCTTGACAAAGAAACGGCCCCAAGAAGAGATAAGACTGATCTTTTCAAACTGAAGGCTTAAGGGCTGGCCTAGTAGCCTCATGGAAGGGAACCAGATCCCACAAGGACAGCCATGCTTCAAATCCCATTCCCAGTGGCTTCAAAACATACCAGGCACGTGTGCATTTGTGCCCAAATCCTGGCAAGATAGAGAAATGGAGAAGGGAATAGCATGACCATCCCCTATGGTGAGCACAGGTTCCTATGGCCAAAAAAAAAGATGAAAATGAACGTTCTAGCTGTGTTTAGATTCTATCACCACTTCAGTTATGCCTTATTCCAAAGTCTACATTCTAAACCACTGGATAAATTAAGAATCTAACCCATTCATTAACTCTGCTTTCATCTAGATAACTAGATGAGGATTTCTCTATTCTGGTTTCAGAATGAACTAAAATAGGGGTGAGTCGTATTGTTAGAAATCAGTATATGACATAAGTCATCTGCCCTTAATTAGCTGATCTGTGAAGAAATTATTTAAGTTACTTTGTACTTTTATTTTTACTGAAGGAAAAACATACCTTCTAAGATGAAAGGGAATTTCTTGTTCATTGTATGCCTGAAATCTGAAGAGGGAAAAAAAAAGTCTTGAGATTATAGATGATCAAGAATTCATTGTGTTAACACAGAGTCATAATTTTGCTTTAGGTGAGGTCTATACAATGAGAACCATACAGATTAGGCATTTGTTTTAAGGACTTCCTGGTAATCTAGGATCTGCATCCTTTAGGACAGGATCTAAGTTGTACTTGCCTTAACCTGCACCCTTATTTTATACTAGAATTTTTAAATTTTGACTTGTATAGGCCCAGCCTGGAGGCACAGTAGGTAGCAAACTGAACTGCAGAGCTGCAAGCAACAATGCTGACGGGTGGGGCTTTAGTTCCCTTGGTCAGCCTGAAAACACACCAGGAACATGCACGTGTGCCCAGATACTGACAAGGTGGAGGGCCAGAGGGATGGGACTTGTGCATGATGAGACCCTGTGGAGGGTGCTTTTCTCTCATGAGCAGCCACTATCACAAACTTTAGAAAAAAATCTAACCTTGTACATATAATTTAGAGATGTATGTGGAAGCCAATTTTTAGTGTCAATGTATAATTCCTTTATGCAATTAACTTTTAAGAATATTCATGCATGTCATTTTACCATTGGTATGGAATTAGAAGATCATACCTAGTTTTTTGTTTTTCTTCTTTTTTGGAGAGGTTTTTGCTATAGGGCACATGCGTTTGCCAGAAAGACAGAGAGACGAAGTGAGAAATCCCCCCCCGGGAGGGATGGCCACACTGCAATCTCTTCATTCTCCTCTCGGGATCTTGGACACACACACTAACACTGGACTCCAGTGTAGTCAACTGCGGTTCAAGCCTCGGACCCAGTGGCTTAAACTCGCGCTGGGTGCATGTGCGTGCTCAAGATCCCAAGAGAAGAATGGGAGAAAGGGCTGCGGTGTGGCCATCCCCCCTGGGGGGTGATTTCTCACTTTCTGTCTCTGTCTCTATCTTTAGGCAAGTGCACGAGCCCTATAGCAAAAACCTCTCAAAAAAAAAAGTAAGTTGAGAGTTCTAATATAATATTTCCTCACACAAAATGTGAAAAGCACTGTCAGTGATAGCCAGAGGCATGGGCAAAGTTTCTGGTGCCCACTGAGAAAACTGGTTACTCTGACAATGGCTACCTCCTGCTTCCTCAGTCTATTAAACAAGGCAGTGTAATACACAGGCAGTTCCCTCCATCTGCTCCCACACCAAGCCACACTAGGGCCACTTGCTCTACCCTCCTCACTGGTAAAACCCAAGGAGGTGTGAAAACTTCCTATTCTACAAGTGAACACTTTTTTTTAATTGCTGAGAGGGAAGGAGAGGGAAAGGGAGAAAGCTACCCACTATGGGGCTGGGTCACATGGCAATCCCTTCTCTGTCCTGTTGGGATTTGGGGCATGCACTCACTCACGCCCAGCATGTTTACAAGCCACTGAGGCCAAGATTCAAACTGGTCATCATGTGGGGATCCACTCCCCTGAACCACTAGGCTATGGGGCCAGCCTCACATTAGTGCTTTTTCTTTTAAAGGATAAGTGAGAGTCAATTAGTCAATAACAATGTAAACTCCCTTTCTGCCCATAAAAATACCTAATAAACTGAATCTGAAGAAGCTATTTCTGGGCTTGCCGTGTGGCTTAGTGGTTAAAGGAACCAGATCCCACATGGCTGACCACAGTCTGGCAACTTGAAAAACATGCCAGGCATGTATGCATGCACAAAACTCTGACCTGAAGGAGGCATGGAAGAAAAATGTGGAATGACCACAGCCCACTGGGGAGGTGCTTTTTCCTAAATCTAACCCTCTCTGGCAAGTATGCACGCCATTTGGCAATTAAATTTTTTTTTTTTTCTCCAAAAGTACCACTACCAGTTAACATCTAAAATGCATTAGCACACTGTATACCCCTCTGGAAGGCACTAACTTATTATGATTACCTTGGCTTGTGTTCATCTTAGTAAACAAAAAATATGCTCCGAAAACGCCTAGAAGTTCAGCTACTAAAACTCCTTTAAAGATCTTCTTTGCCAGTGGTTCCATAGTGCGGGCCATCCTAAATTTAACAATAAGAAACATGTAAACCTGGAGAAACATATTTGAGCTTCTATTACTACTTCTACAAAAGTGACTCCCAATTCATTTCCAGTTTGAATGGTTATCTGCATAGGAATAAAGCCCCCATTACTGTATGCATATTCCAGACAACTCCTACATCCCTACTTTTCAACCTCCATGCCTAAGGGGTACAGTGAACCAACGACACAAGATTGGATAAAGCACAGAAAGAAGATAAAAACTTAAGACATTGTAAAAAGAACAACTTATCGAAGTAGGAGCTTAAAACTGTCTACGGAATGGTAGGAAGCAGCTTTTAGCTGACCTGAAAAATATGAGATGATCTAGCGGACACAATATGTGAAAGTCCTACAAAACTAAAGCTCTTCTATGCGTGGGTCTATTTTGTTTTATGGCTGGAGTTCTACACTTATTTGTACTGTGAGTGAATTAATTTGTATATACTGAATAACATAGTTATAGTTCAGGCACTTCCCTAGATGCTGAGGATACAAAGTTGAGCAATAAACTAATTCCTTCTTGATCCTGAAGCACTACTATCTTGACAGTATTTTACACTTTTAATTATGTTATCCAAGAGGTTTGTTAAAAATGTGTTTTCATGAATCTTGTCTGCAGTTCAGTCCCCATTCTCCAGATGGTGTTTCAGCAAGTCCAGGGTCGTCACCCAGCAAGCCTCCCTTCAGCAGACATTGCAGTCTTCACACAAGACTATGGCCCTAGGACCACAAGGTGGGAAGACTGACCACCATGTCAAAAGTCAAAAGTACAGACTGTTTAGAACTTCTCTTTCTGTAATTAAAGTAAAAGCTAATCAAGAAAAAAATGGTTTAAGTATCTATTCCTTCCTCCCACCCCACCTCCCCAAGTAAATAAGCAAAAAGGGCCACCCTATGGCCTATGATTAATGGAACCAGATCCCACATGGCCAATCATGCTTTGAATCCCCACCTGGGCACCTTGAAAAACACTGCCCAAAATCCTGACAGAAGAGGGAAAGGGAGAAGTACACCATGATCATGCCCCACTGGAGGGTGCTTTCTCCCTCTCCCTGTCTTGGTCTACTGGCAAGCACACAAGCTCTCTGGCAATTAAAAAAAAAAAAATCTGGGCCAGCTGGTGGCGTGGTCCTCATGGCAAATCTCAATGACTGAAAGAGCTGTTCAAGTCTCAGACCCAGTAGCTTGAAATACAGAGTATGTTTGCAGTGTGCACTCAAAATCCAAAAAGGAGAAATGGAAGAGACTGCGGCATGACCATCCCCATGAGGGGTACTTTCTTACTTTCCCTGTCTCTGGAAGCGCACACACCCCCTAGAAATATTAAGGACCAGCAGATGGTGTAGTGGTTACATCTCTGGACTCCCACGTGGTAGACCGCAGTTCAAGTCCCAGACCTGGTGACTTGAAACTCACACTGGACATATGTACATGTGAGCCCAAAATCCTGAGCGAGGGACTGTGGAGAGTGGTCATCCCCCCAGGGGGTGACTTATTGCTTTGTCTCTCTGGTGAGCATATGTGCCCTATAGTAAAAGCCTCAAAAAAAAAAAAAAAACATAAACCTAAAAGCTGAACACGGTAAAGGGCTATACAACAAGTACTGGACATGTGAAATGTAAACCCAGGTTTCCACTCTACTTCCCTATGACTCCGAAGTCAGCAACAGGAAAACCACTAGTTTTTTTTTTCTTTTTTTGGGGGGGGGAGGAGAGATTTTCACTGTAGGGCGCGTGCGCTCGCCAGACAGACAGAGACATAGAGACAGAAAGCGAGAAATTACCCCCCAGGGGGGATGGTCACGCCGCAATCCCTTCTCCTCCATTCTCCCCTCGGGATCTTGGGCACGCACGCACAAGCGCCCGGCGTGAGTTTTAAGCCACCAGGTCCAGGACCCGAACCGCGAAAACCACTAGTTTTTCATCTCAGATTTTGACATAGTGCTGGGACCAGCAGTTAGCGTAATGGCTGTCACTGGGCTCCCATGTAGTCAACCACGGTTCGCATCGCGGACCCAGTGGCTTAAACTCACACCAGGTACAAGTGCCTGCGTTCCCAAGATCCCAAGAGGAGAATAGAGGAGAAGGGATTGCGGTGTGGCCATCCTCCCTGGGGGAGTGATTTCTCGCTTTCTGTCTGTCTCTTTCTGGTACGTGCCCTATAGCAAAAAACCTCTCCAAAAAAAAAAAAAAAGATTGACACAGTTCTGTACTATCTTGCCATTGCCATTCTCTGCCCTCTGGGTAGAGGGGGTTCATTATCTAGCACTACAGGCCCAACTCTCAGCTCAGTGCCAGGCCACTTCTATTCACTGACCTCCTTTTCACAAGGCCTGGAGGTACAGGTAATTAAGCACCCTCCTTTTGTAGGCTTATCCTAGTAATATCATTACCAGGTGCCCGCCCCCATTCCCTTTCCTCCTTTGATAATGTGATCACCCTGGGGACCAAAAGATTACATCTTTATTATTCTTTCTTTAACGACAAGAAACCCAGCCCATGGCCTGGTAGTTGAGGCAGCTGGATCCCACAGGGCCAACTCTGCAGTTCAAGTCCTGGACCTGGCAGCTTGAGAAATCCTGGGTACGTGGGTGCCCAGGGTCCCAAAGGGAAGGAGATGGAGCAGAGGGGCTGTGGTGTGACCATGCCCCACGGGGGTGCTTCCTCTCTCCATCAGGCCCTTGTGCCCTTCCGCAAACTTAAACAAACAAACAAATGAAACGAAGCAAAGGAAGCTAAAAAGGAAATTCCACTTTTTTTTTGAGGCGCGAGATACTGGCAGGGAGAAAGCTGCTCCCAGCAGGGCCGCCCCGGCGGGGTTACTCTCAATGTTCTAGGAAGGAAAAAGCCAAGTCGGCCCGAGCCATTCCCGCAGTTTAAAGACTCCCAGTAACGTGTGTTCTGTTGGGAGAGCGGGTTCTAAGAGCTGCAAAAATGCAGAGTCCAAGGAAACTACAAGGGAACACTGACCTTCCTTAGAAGTTCGTACGTGTCGTTCCCAGCCCTCTGCTCCAGGAGGGCTCTCCCACCCGCTGCTCAAACCCCCGGGGAGAGAGAGGAGCCGACTGTCCCCAACCCAGTTAGCGCCCCCCTCCGGCAAGGCGGGCGTCCCGCGGAGGGCGGGGGTCTGAGTCCAAGCAAAGGGGGCTGGCAGGCGGAAGCGGGCAGGGCTGTGGGGGCCGGGTTCACAGTGGGCCGAGCAGCTGGCCCAGGGCACAGGGGCCCGGGTGCTCGAGCGCAACTCTCCGGGGCAGCGCGTCCGGAACCCCCTCCTCTGAGGCCGCGGCTCAAGGGGCAAACTCAGCTCCCCGAGCTCCCGCGGTCAGGCACCGAGCCACCCGCAGGCCAGGAGAGCGGCCTGGCTGCCCGCCCACGTCCCTCGGCCCCGCACCCACCCGGGCCCGCGCGCCCCTGGTTCTCCTGGGCCCTTGGCTCGCCCCCGCCTCCAGGGCCCCCGGAAAGTCCTGGACCTGCAGCCAACCAGCGCCCCGACCGCACAGGTCGCCGAGCGACCCGGAAACATTCGGCCAGCCGTGCGCCCCCTCTGGCGAAGTGGAGACGGTGACACCCGAGTGTCCGCATAACCCCAAACTCTGGTAAAACACCTCTAAAACGACCGCCCCGCGCGTCTCACCCGGGAAACCGAAAGTGAGTTTGGCGAGCGGAAGCCGAGCGCTCCCCACCCGAGCCCCGAGCTCTCCAGACTGCGCAAGCGCGTGGGTTGGCAAAGCCGCGCCCCTCCGCCCGCTGGCCCCGCCCCACGGTCCTAATTGTCGGTTACGGTGGTGCCCCCAGCATCTGGGCTTTTTTTTTTT